AATCTCCTTAAATCTAATCTAATCAGAATTTGGACTCGACAAAAATCTAATCAGGAATTGGACTCGACAAAAATCTAATTAGTAATGGGACTCGACAAAAATTAAATTGGAAATTGAAATCGTCTAAATTCTAATTAGTAATTGGACTCGACAAAAGTCTAATCAGGATTTGGACTCGACAAAAGTCTAATCAGGATTTGGTCTCGACCAAAGTCAAATTAGGGATTGGACTCGAAAAAAATCTAATCAATCATAATTTGGACTCGACAAAAACTAGTTAGACTGGACGAAAGTCTAATCAGGAATTGGACTCTATAAAATCCAATCAGGAATTGGACTCGACGAAAGTCTAATAAGGAATTGAACTCGACAAAAATATAATCAGGAATTAGACCTACAAGAATCTAATCAAAATTTGGATCTGGCAAAACTGTAATTAGAAATAGGAATCGACAAAAGTCGAATTAGGAATAGGAATCGACAAAAGCCGAATTAGGAATAGGAATCGACAAAAGCCGAATTAGGAATAGGAATCGACAAAAGTCGAATCAGAAATCAGATTCGACAAAAGTCGAATCAGGATTTGGACTCGACTAAAGTCTAATCAGGATTTGGACTCGACTAAAAACTAATCAGGATTTGGACTCGACTAAAAACTAATCAGGAATTGGACTCGACAAAAGTAATTGGATCAAATTAGAAACTGAACTTGAAAAATCAAATTAGAAACTGAACTTGAAAAATCAAATTAGAAGCTGAACTTGAAAAATATTATTAAATATGGAATTTGATAAAAATCGAGTTAGGAATTGGACTCGACAAAAATCTATTTAATAATTAGACTCGACAAAAATCAAAATATGAATTGGACAAAAATTAAACTATAATTTTCACTAAATTCCGAATATATACACTTATAAAATCAATTTTTATACAAAGCAAACAAACAAAAATCTCGAATCTGGCAATGACAAATTTTAAGGATTTTTGTCGAAACAAAAAAGAACATATAAAAATAGATGGATTTCCAACAAAAATTAAAATTAAACTAGCTGTAAGTGGAATTCTGTCTTGAGGCAATTATGGCATCGTGCCTTAAGGCAAATTGCTGGAACTTCCCGTACCGTTACGAAATGTTCGAGGAATACTGAATGTTTTCAAATAGATTATTATAAATATTGTAACATTGTCTAATATTTATAAGAATTATATAAACTGAATTGCAGACTTGAAATTATTTGTAAAGTATATTAGAACTATAGTCAGAATTAAAAATAAAATCTGAAATATTTTCGATATACAAAAAACTAAAAAAAAAATAAAAAAAAAAAAAAAAGTTGTAAAAAATTTTTTTTTCCAAAATCAATTATTTTGTTAAGACAAGCAGAAAGTTCTTTGAATCATTTAAATCGGACGCTTAGTTCTCTCAAAAACTGCCATTTTTCACATATTTAGCTCCGTATCTTCGAAATGGCTGGGCCTGCCTTTGCCAAAAACTAATAAACACTTCTTTCAATCATTACTAATTGAATGTTTTTCAGATCATTCAAATCGGATACTCCGTTCTCTCAAAAATTCGATTTCTATTTTCTGCACTTTTTGCTCCGTATCTCCGAAACGGCTGGACCTGCCTTTGCCAAAAACTAATCAGCTCTTTTCCCTATCAATAGGAATCGAATGTTTTTTGAACCATTCAAATCGGTTGATTCGCGCTCCCTAAAACGTGACTGGAAATTTGTATCCATACATACATACACACACACACACACACACATACACACACACACACACATCCATTTTTTCTGTGGTATGCCAAAATGTTCAGAAACCTTCAAAACGTCGAGAAATGTAAAAATTTTCAATTCCGATTTTCGGCCCATTACAATAACTTACCCTACGGGAAGTTAACAAGTAATATATAAATAAACAAAAAATTACTCCTAGGTCATGTGATGATTCTGGATAAAAACAATGGTATCCACCAAAATTTGAATGTTCTAATTTTGTTAAGGTATTTTTCTTGTTAACTAGTTTTTGACAACCTCTTTTCATGCAAAAAAAAATAGTTCCATAATTTTTCTCGTCTTGGAATGTCATGAGGCTAACATGCCCAAAATGTTTTTCAAACATTATAAAAATGACAATATATTAAAATAAAAAATAAATTAACAATTAATAATTAGCGATATAAAAACATATATTATGCATTGGTTATTGAATATTGAGTAAATAATTATTAAAATCCACTATTATTTTTTTGTACAACTAATTTCTTCGTAGTGTTACCTACAAAACTCCGTTTATGCAACATAGCACATTACGTCGTGTTTTTTTGATTAAAGCTATTTTTAACAAATATTGTTCATTTTTTTTACGAAGTACGATAATTGTTCGGACACCTTATTATAACTAGCAAACACCAAAACTTACAGCAAATAGTTTTTTTTAACCTGAACCAAATTCTTTGTCAGAGACGAAAGTTTTTCCACACTGGTATTTTTTTTTTAATTTTCACTATTGAGTCTGAATTTCCAAATTGTACGAATTATGAACACACTTTCATAATATAATATTTTTCACTGCACATTCTGGTCTGTAGATATCATTTTAAAAAAAAGATATGAAGACACATGCTGCTTTGCAGCGCAACCAAATTTTGAAGAAATTTTCAGTAGATCATAAAAATTCTGTCAACTTTTGTAGATCTTGCATTATTGACATGCAACTGTTTGTTGATTTTACAAAATTCCATGAATATCCACTTGATGACACTATTTTCATCTATACGTTGAGAGTTACATAATATTCCGCTTTTTACAGAATTATTCTCGAAGTAATTTAATTAAATAAATCCTCAAATCCAGTCTAAATTGGATACGGGAAATATATGATTAGATATTGGACTCATCAAGAATCTAATTAGGAATTGGACTCGACGAAAGTCGAATTGGGAATTGGATTAGATAAGAATTTAGTTGGGAATTGGACTCGACTAAAGTCTAATTGGGAATTGGACTCGACTAAAGTCTAATCGGGAATTGGATTCGACGAAAGTCTAATCAGGAATTAGACTCGACGAAAGTCTAATTAGGTATTGGAATCAACAAAAATGTAATTAAGAATTAGACTCGATGCAGATCTAATTGAGAATTGGACTCGACAAGAATATAATTAGGAATTGGACTCGATAAAAAACTAATCAGGAATTGGACTCGTCAAATATCAAATTGGGAATGCGACTCGACGAAAGTCAAATTAGGAATTGGACTCAATAAATGTCAAATTAGGAATTGAACTCGACGAAAGTTAAATTATAAATTGGACTCGACGGAAGTCTAATTGGGAATCGGATTAGTCAAGAATTAACTTTTATTTTTAGTTGGGAATTGTACTCGACGAAAATGTAATTGGGAATTGGACTCGACAAGAATCTAATTGGGAATTGTACTCGACTAATATCAAGTTAGGGATTACACAAGAATCTAGTTAGGAATTGTACTCGACAAGAAACTAGTTGGGAATTAGAATCGACTAAAATTAAATTGGGAATTGGACTCGACAAGAATCTAATTGGGAATTGGACTCGACAAATATCAAATTGAGAATTGGACTCGATGAAAATCTAATTAAGAATTGGACACGACAAAAATTTAATTGGGAATTGGACTTGACGAAACTCAAATTAGACATGGCTACATCCAAGTCGAATCATGGTGCTTGTATATATCCTAAAATTGCCCTCCATTGTTCCAAAATTTATCATACGATTTTTTGTAATTCAGCCACTTCTTCACTTAGGACTTTAATATTCAAAAATGTTCCTCAGGACCATAGTTTCTATCATATATTTTTTTGGCAAAATTGTCTAAAACAATTTGCGACATCAAAGCAGAATTCTCGACCAACTTGTGATTGTAATAATTGTAGTGTACAACACTCACTTCTTTGTATGTCCTGAAAGTGCAATCCATTACTCCAAAATTTATTAAACCAATTTTCTGCTCGAGACGTTAATATTTTAGGATGTTCTTTAAGACTACGATGTCTATCATCATAGTTTCGTCAAGATCGTCAACAATAAATGCCGTCATCAAAGCCAAATGTCGATGAACTTACTAATGACTGCTTAAACCTTCATGAAAGCAATATTATTAGAATCTTTCCAACTTGTATACAGATCACATTAAATTTTGAGAAATCACTTGCAGGATCAAATGGTTCTTCATGTTGCCAATAACAAAGCATCGTGTCATCTTTAAAGACACTCCACGTAAATTGTAATTTCAATGTGTTAATCTCGTCTATAAGAAATTATTACAATTCCTTTTCTATGTTTAATAAAGTACCATGTTCCTTTGTTCAGAAATCTCACAAATCAGTTCCACGATCAGAAAAGAATTTTTTTTAAGAAATCCCCCAATCCCTTTCTGGATCAAATTGTTCTTCATGAAGGCATCGTGCCATCACTAACTACAATCCACGAAATTTGGAATTTTAATCGTCCAACCTCGTCTTCAAGAAATTATTACAATTCATACTACCATTTCATCACATTCCATTATTTTTTCAGAAATCTCACAAATCAGTTCCACGATCAGAAAAGAATTTTTTCAAGAAATCCCCCAATCACTTTTAGATCAAATTGTTCTTCATGTTTTGAATATCAAGTCATAGTGCCATCATCAAAGGCACTCCACGTAAATTGTGATTTCACTCGTCCAATCTCGATTATGAGAAATTAATTACAATTCCTTTTCTCCATTTAAAAAAGTACAATAATCCTTTGTTTTTCAGAAATCTCACAAGTTCCACGATCATTGTACTCTCCGTCTTCCAACATTACCAACAGATCACAAATATTGAGAAATCTCCGAAATCACTTTCTGGATCAAATTATTCTTCATGAAGGCATCGCGCCATCACAAATTCCACTCCACGTAATTTGGAATTTTAACTTCGTCTTCAAGAAATTATTAGAATTTCCTTTATCATTTTTTCAGAAATCTCACAAATCAGTTCCACGATCATTCTCCTCCCCGTCTTCCCGATATCAAGACCTCGTGGCATCGCTGGATTCGCTCAAACTACCCCTATCACTGGACTCACTCGACGCCGCCGCATTTTGCTGCTGCTGCAGTTGCGTCACAGCAATCGGCTTATACTCCGTTATCACAACCGTCACACTATTGACCGTAACCTCCCTCGTCTGAGCCGAGCTCCTGTCCACATTCTTCAACCTCGGCGGATGAGACTGATGAAGGCGTTTGGAGTTGCTGCTGGCCGTCGAAGAGGCGCTGCTCCCTCTCGAATGTCGATGTCTGTGATGGTGGTGGTGGTGATGGGATCTTTTGACCGAGCCTCCGGCTGCTGCGGGGACGGCGGTGTCCTTACCGCCGCCCGGAGCCGCCGCCGTGGCTGACGCGGGACCTGCCTGCTGCTGGGAGGCCGCGAGCGCTGGGTTTATTCGCGGCTTGCGCGTTGAAGTTCCTGGTGAAAGAGGAAATAGAAGGTGAGAGACAGGTGAGAGATAGATGATAGATGGTAGATGATAGATGAAAGATGAACGAGTATGAATGTTTAAATGAATGATTAAATTGATCAAAACTTTCGGTGAAAACAAAACTTTGGTTTGATAAAGACATTCTATAAGGGTTGCTAGATTATCATGTGTTAATCGTTATATTGATGAATGCTATAGCATTCACGTCATTTAAGTTGAATGAGTACATTTGATTATATACACTTCTATTAAGTCGAATGAGTACATTTGATCAAACTTTTGGTGAAAAAAATCTCTAGCTTGGCTAACACATTCGTGGACAGTAGAAGTTCCAGCGAGAAAAAAATTGACAGTCATTACATTTGTGAATTGGTTGTAATATCCAAAGTTTGGTTAAATACAAATTATAAGAGTAATTATATTATCATATTTGAAACGTTATATACGATGAATGCTATAGCGTCCATGTCAAGTGTTACGCTTCTATTAAGTTGAATGAGTACATTTGATCAAACCTTTGGTGAAAAAGTTTCTGGTTTGGTTAACGCATTCTGAGGCAGCAGAAATTACAGCAAGGAAATATTTTATAGTCATTTTATTTTTAAATTGGTTGTGATAACCAAAATTTGATGAAAGACCTTTTATAAGATCTATCAGATTATCATATTTTGATCGTTATATATTATGAATGCTATAGCATCCACGTCAAGTGTTACACTTCAATTAAGTTGAATGAGTACATTTGATCGAACTTTTCGTGAAAAAAATTTTGGTTTGGTTAACGCATTCTGGGACAGTAGAAGTTTCACCAAGAAAAAATTTGTTAGTCATTTCACTTTGAAAAAAAACTTTGGTTTGATAAACACATTCTAGGGCAGTAGAAGTTTCAGCGAGAAAATTTTGATAGTCATTTTATTTTGAAATTGGTGTGATATCCGAAATTTGATTGAACCGTTTATAAAGGTTGTTAGATTTCCACGTGTTATTCGTTATATTGATGAATGCTATAGCATCTACGTCAAGTGTAAAGCTTCTATTAAGTGAAAAAAACTTTGGTTTGATAAAAACATTCTCGTAGAAGTAGTAGAAGTTTCAGCAAGAAAAAATTGACATGCTATATTAATGAATGCTATAGCATCCACGTCAAGTGTAGCACTTCTATTTTACGCAATGTGCTTGCTCAAGGGAAAAGATAAGATAATACAAAAATAGCTAAAGAATCAGTTAGTGACAGGTATGTAATAATAATTACTGAAACGTAAAATAATATAAAATTAAATTGAAAATAATTGACTTTAAAATTGCAGTTTTAAATCATTCGTGTCATTATGCAACACAATGTCAATAAATGCTATAGCATTCACGTGTTAATTAAAGGCGTAATTGAAAAAACACGTAGACAACTTTTCTGAAGACGTTTGAGACAGAAAAAATTAAATTCGTCGTTAGAAATTATGGCATATAGCATAAAGCATGAAATCTTGTTTGATTGGAAAAAAGTAAAGATAAATTGCTACTGATCAATTACCAAAAAAAGAGCTAGAAAATGCACAAGTTTCTGCATTTATTATAGAATAAAAAATAAATGAAAAATTTTATAAGCTAATTCGTAAGGTTCATCAAAAATAGCATTATTTCCGTTAAAGAGGTAATTCCGTTAAAGTAAAGTAAAGGCATGAATTGTGTATTTTGAAATGCCGTAAAAACAAAGCAAACAAATTTTACTATCATTTTTTTATATATAATTTACTAATTAATGTTTTAAGAATAAAGATAAAAATTTAGAATAAAAAAACAGTCAAAATGTTTTAATTCTAGCAAATGTTAAAGTGAGATATCTCAAAATATTGGCACATGACCATTTAGAAAAATGTCGCATTTCTATGAAATACGGATACCTGCCTTTTGCGAATGCGTAAGATAAATTACAACTTTTTTAAATATTCTCGAATTTTTTAAAATATAATATAAATCGACACTTGGGGATAAAAATAGTTCATACTGATGAGAAGTTTATAAAGAAGACTCTGTAAAAATTTCAAGTAAATCGGTGCAGTAGAAGTAGAGAAATCGTGAGTATCGTAGCAAAAAAAACAGTTTCGAGAAAAAAGCGTTTGAGGAAAGAAACAGAAGATGATTATCATAATCAAATAGCTGTATCTCCAAAAATAATTTATTTTTTGAAAAATCTTCCTGATCGCATATTACTGCATATTAAAACTTCGAAAATATAAGAAAATCAATTTCGTGAAACTTCTAGACTAAAATAACCTCTTAAATAAAAAAATGTCTTCTTCAGCAAAATTAATATTGTTTCTGTTAAGTTTGAATGTGGGACCAAATTGTATATTATCAACAAGATAAAAATGATAATAGTCAACTCGCCTATAACGCGGTACTAAGGAGTAACATGACGAAATATTAGAGGAAGCTTACTGAGATATAAAATATCAAATTATTGTGGTACGAAAATAAGTTATTGAAATTGAAAAATGATATGAAACATGATGAAATGAGCATCAAATACTAAATATGATTTACAAAATTGAATTGCTTATTAATTTATTAACCATGCCAAGTTCCTAATTAAACTGTTGGGTAAACAAAATTTAATTAAGAGTTACAACAAACGATATGTTTAAAAAACACCACACTATGTATTTACAAACAAATATATATTTATTTATGTGCAACTACGTAACTGTTTGCAGATTATAATTATTGTAAGTACATTACCATAATTATGCAAATAGTGATTAGAGTAGAAAAAATTATAGATAAATAATATACAACAGGTAGAAAAGTAAGTAGAGCATTCAATAGTAAGAGAAACACGCAAAGCTGGTAAGATAAGATATCTAGAAGAAAATTATCACTATTTTTAAAGCACATGATATATTGTAATAATTAGTCCAAGCACTACATTATATGAAATACATATAACATCTCTATAAGTATGTAAAAGCACTGTGTGATCACTAAATGCACTAAGGGCTCCATAAAATCCTTGCCCGGAGAATACTTTAAAATTGAGTAAAGTATTCAATGGTTTTTGTAAAAATATCAGATGTCTCATATCAGCAAATTGAACGACATTTACGAAACAAAAATGAAATATTATTTCTTACAAAACTAGCTAGTATGAATATAAATGCTAAGCGCTGTAAATATTTTTGCTTTCAATCATTCAGTAAGTTCGTAGGAACTTAATTAAAGAATTTCATGTTCAAAGTTGGTACTTCCTACAAATCATATGGATTATTGCAGAGTAACGCCATCTATGTGTCATCCTACGTACTTTCGTAAAAATTAATACTTATTACTACAAATCGAATGCTTTTTTAATTTTTCCAAATCTGTTGATCCGTGTTCCTAACATCTTCGACAAAAATTTGTATTCGCACACACACGCACACACCACTTTTTTGAGATATGCCAAAATATTCGGAAACTTTTGAAACATAAATTTATGGAAGTGACTTACCCTACGGGAACTTAAATATATAAATATAAATAAAATAAGTAATCTAACTGTAAACAAAATTCCTATATAGATATACAACATTTTTCACCGATTTCTGTTCCTCTGTCAGCAGTAAAATTTGCAAGTATAGAAGAAAGCCAGCAATTGGAAAGTGCAGTAGAGTGCATTTTTTTAAATTATTTATTTGTTTTGTTTATTATCAATCTGGTGAGCACTAAAAATGCATTACGTGGTGTGCAGCAGCTGCATAAAAGCGTAGAAAGCGATGCACGTAGAGGAAGGAATTTTATTCGAGATAAAAACTTTCCTCTTGATAAAAGTAATTTGACGAAAAAATCGTAAAGCTGAAAGGTAGTAGACACAAGAATGCCGAAAAAATGATTGAAAAAAAAATTCCTTAAAGCAAATTAAAAGTCTTGAACTAGAGTCAAAACTGGTGGTGTATCGCATCGTGCCTTAAGGCAAATTGCAGGAATTTCCCGTACCATAATTACATATTCGAGGGAAAAAATCAGTAATCAAATTTGATCAATAATTTACAATAATTGTTTTATATATTTTCAAATAGATAATTATAATCACTTTATATTTTGTCGTTCATAAAATATTCAGTGAGGATCTTATCGCTCAAAACACTTGAGACAGTTTACATTAGCAAGAGGTGCTGAATGAATCCATCTGAGTATATATTTCTTACGATTGAAATATATACAATTTCAAACTGAATTGTAAACATAAAATTCATATTTGAAGTATAAGACATTGTATATTTTTGAAAATTTTAAAAACTATTTTTTTCAGAATATTTTGAAATTTGCTTGAACCATATAAGCAAACTTTAAAAATTAAAAATCTTGGTACAAAACCTAACAAAAATGTAACAAAAAATTTAGTACTCATTTTTTAAAATATTATAAATTATCTGATAATTTGATGTGCTTAGTCTAATGTTCGTTTTTGACCAGCAAATATCATTTTTCTTACTTTTTTTTCCGTATCTCCGAAACCGCTAGACCTGCCTTACCAAAAAATTCATCAATTATTCATTTCGTCATTCGAAATAAAATGTTTTTCGAATCATTCAAATCGGGTGCTCCGTTCTCTCAAAAACTGAATTACCGTTTCTGTCACTTTTTGTCTCATATCTCCGAAACTTCTAGACCTGCCTTTGCCAAAAACTAATCTGCATGTCTTCTTATCAATAGGAATCGAATGTTTTTAAACCATTAAAATCGGTTGATTTGTGCGCCCGAAATCGTGGACGAAAAGTTGTATCCAAACATACATACATACAACACACACACAGACATTTTTTCTGAAGTATGCCAAAATGTTCAGAAACCTTTGAAACGTAAAGATATGCAAAAAATTTTATTTTCGATTTTTTGCGATTACTATAGCATACCCTAAGGGTTAAGTTAATAAAATCCAAATCATTTTCGATATTTAAAATTTAAAAAAAAAATTAAATAAAAAAAAATTCTTTCCCCAAAAGCAATCATT